TCTGTCAGTCTGTCATTGTGTCAGTCGGGTTTTCTTTATGTTGTCTGTTCTCTGAATATGGTCTTTTGTCACTCGGCTGTTCTCTCTGTCATTCAGTCGAGTATTCTGTCTGCTGAATAGTTGGGTGTTCTCTCAGTCGGTCTGTCGCCCATCGAATGTTCTCTCTTTCGTACAATTGTGCGTTCGTGCGTTTTCACAGTCAGACTTTCGGGCAGTCTGCTGTTCTGTCAGTCAGGCGGTCGGGCAGTCGTTTGCCTTGTCCATAAGACCCAGTCCTTCGGTATTCTAGAAACCTTGGCCTCGGCACCTGATTAGTCTTATCTCCTCCCTTTTGCCCTCCTTCGGCAAACAGACCGACCCAACCCGCTTTGTTGAGACGTCTTTCGAGACCAGTATCTACCGGACGGCTGAAACCAGTTGTCTGGGCTACAAGACCGGCCTTGTTCGACTTGAGCTGTTTGTGATGCGGCCCGTCGTCCGGTGTGAAGAACAGGTGAAGATGGGATAATCGTACAGCATAAACTGCGTGGCTAGCGAGGGCCTGGCAGGTAGATTGAAGCGACACACACAATCACGCCCATATACACACGGACAAAGACGCAAAGTGTTGAAGAGCAAAATGATTCACGTTATGGTACCTCTTAGTGCGTTGGAGACGCCGACTCGAAGGGATTGGGTAGATTGGTCGAGCCAGAAACTGGGGCCAATCGACTGCTTCGGAAGTGACTGTAGATCTCCGCCAACCCTACCACGTCCTCGAAGAATCTGAGCCGAAACATGGTCTGTGCCAAAGTGGCAAAAACGTTCAGTGTTGAAAGATGCTTCTCACAAAATTGCCAAGCCTTTGGCGACAAGAAAGAAAACTGCATAAAATCCTACTCTGTTCGTAAACAAGAACTTAGTCAATCATATCAATAAGATGTGAATATTTGTAGAGATTATCCAAAATTATTGAAAGGTAACTTTGTCAGTCAGGCGTGGGGCAAGTTACAATTTAGTGACTGATATTAAGATGCCCTAATAAATTCATCGTATTATGTGTAGCTACTTATTTCCGATATAAGTAGCGTTTGAGACTATTGGTAATTTTATGAGTAGTTATCAATACTATCGGCCATGTGTGCCTTAGGTCATAGTCACTCGTCTGATAATTGAGATTTCATTCTCATCTCTTTGCATTCTGTGACGTTACTTATCTCCGATATGAATAGCTTTTGAGAGCATCGGTAATCCTTGAAAGGGAAATTGTTCAGTTAAGTGTGGTCTTAGTCGTTATTTATTTGAGGGTAGTCGAAATTTCCTATTTACCTCCTGGCATTCCGTATTGCTGCTTATTTCAGATTTGAATAGTTTTCTGTATTTCTGTATTTATTAAAAGAGCACCCTAATTATAAATGCAAATAACTTTTTTAGTCAAGTGTGGCGTATGTCGTACTATAGGACCAATAGTTTGGTTTTCCCACCCACCATCACGATACATATTTCTTATATGAGTAGAATTCGAGACTGTACATAATTATTGAAAAACAAGTTAATTAAGCAATTATGTTGTAAATAGTGATTTAATGACTGATATAGATAATTTTTATTAACTTCATCGCATCTACGTCATTACTTATTTCCTACATGAGTAGTTTTCAAATTCATCGGTAATTTATGAAAGGGAATTTGCTAGTTAAGATGTCGTTTAATTCGTGATTATAGTGCCAGTCGAGATTTCCTATTCAAATAATTGCATTCGTTAGCGTTACTTATTTACGAAATGAGTTACTTTCGAGAATATCGGTATTTCTTGGAAGGATACTTGCTCATTTAGCGATGGATTTTAAAGTTCTCCTTCGATTGCATCAGTAAGCCTTATGATACCCTTTCATTTCGCACTTTGACTTGACTCATAAAAGGGTAGCCTTATTTTGCTGATCATCAACACCAGAATTTCTGATATACTCGAGACCTACTCTCAATAAAAATAAGTAGCGTCCTCGATTTCACTAACTCAAACATGTTGTCTTCATTGACGATCCCACCATAAAATGTGATTTGGGAGAGATATTTAATGCCACATCAGCCCTGTGACTTATTTACGTTCGTGTCTGTCCGGTGGATTCGCAATATGACCCCATCATATACAATACCTAACACCGAATCCCACTTAAGGTAGTGGCAAAACATAAGCAAAGTCAAAGCAGACGTCTATCCCGGATTGGACTCAATAAAATGTAATGGTTAGAGGAGGCATAGTAATCTTTTTTCTTAAACTTGCAATATTCACACATGTAATTACGTATATTTGAAAAAAAACAGGGTTTCAGGGACCCCCTGGGCGATGTATTGTGGCATGAAAATGCAATTTTAAGGAAAAGTTGGTCGGAAAAAATTTGTCGATTGGTCGAATGTGTATTGTGTGTATTGG